CCTTCCACACCCCAATCCGTCAAGAATGCCATGCCGGCAACCTAGAAACCTACGCCACCCTCACCCGCCCCATCGACAAAGCCGGCGTCTTCGCCTACTTTGACGGCCGCCCGACGTTCAATACCCCGAATGTGCCCTACGTCCCTGGGCTCCGCCAGGTTGGACCCCGGCTTTGGAAGAAGCACGATGCCCGCTTTGAGAGCACGTGGTTTGGGGATCATATGTGGTATAGTTATCATGGACCCAGTTGGAGTGACAAGGATCCGCAGTTTTGTGAGAGGGGGGAGTGGACGGCTGGACCGTTGCGGTGTGATGAGGAGGGGAGTTTGGGGTGGAGGGTAAGTTGAATTTGTTCTCCTTCTTTTCCCCTGCTTTTTTGTCAAGTTTGGGTTGTTTGGGTTGCTGACGTTTGTGTAGACGTATGATACGGATTGTGTGTTCAAGTGTATCTGGTAGGGGTGGGGGGATGGAGCGCTGTTGCTGATTTATTTTTTCGTAAGTGGAGGGGGGAGTTGGGGGTGTTTTGTTCGATTTCATGTCGTGGACACTGGATTTACGGCTAGAGTTTGAGTTTTTTATTCTTTCGACTTGAAGTTTTTGTTTTGCGTGTTCTGCGATTCCAATCTATTGGCACAAAGACTACTTTTTTTCACCTATTGTTGTGTCCGATCCTGTACTGTACTGTAGGTTCCGTGTTGTTGTCTTGTTTTGCTGGCGAGTGACTTTACTTCAGCCCCTAATTGTGCCAGATGCGTATCTCAACCTCGAGAATTGGGTCATTTGGAGCGAAGAGGTTGGGGATCTTGTTGATTACTGTTTTCCACTGCTAGATGCCTCATGAATATTCGACTCTAGTGTATAGGAAAGCGGCCTTTGTGTCTTCGTCTTTGACGTCGAGCTCCTTGATGACTCTGCTGTAGATCTTCCGCCGTAATTACCTGATGCATGTACAAAACACTAGAAGTATGAAGAGACAGAAGAAGATGGTGAACTACTTAACGCAGTCAGAGGAAATCAACCGCTAACGTGATACATCAACGGGTTCAAGCCCAAAGTTGCTCTTTTCAATCAAACAGTCTGAGAACCAGTCTTCTAAGACAGACCAGCCAGGCCATTCATAGTTGGCGTGGGTTTGGGGCTCGACATAGCTGTTTGACTGATCATATTGATGTACTGTTGCCTCCCGCTACTCTACGCAATAGTAATTACAGACTGTAGTACGTCAATGACATACTTTCACAAACGAGTCTTATGCATGGCGAGAACGTATGAGTTTGTCCGTCATACTGAGGACGAACTGTCAACGGGAAGCGCAAAGCCGCAGCTTCACGCGCTGAACGAAGTGTACGCACAAGGGATGAAGACTGTAGTTTCCTAAAAGATAGGCTTACGAATTTCTTATCTAGAGGCCTCCCGATGGTGATGTAGTGCAGAGGTGGGGTCTCTCGGTGACGTGGCCCGTGCATACACTGTGAAAAACAACCATAGTGCGGTGAAGCTGCGTCAGTAGAAACTCGCTGTAAATCCAATGAAAAAGTCCAGCTCTCCAGTCTGCCTTGCTGTATGGTTTTCCGGCTGTGGTGGCGCATTCTGACCGCTACGCTCTCCGCGGATGAAATCTGTTGCGGATGTGATTTGATGCTGTAAATATCACAAGGGGGCTATGTTAAGTTTGATTGGAGATAGCAAATAGACATAATATGGCTCTGCAAAGAACCTGATTAGGGTCGTAAGATCATATGTGTAGTTAAGCGTAGCGAGACTCGTAGCTGCAATCCATGCGTCTTGGGAACTCATAGACTTGAGTGAGTGCCAACTGTCGAGTATTACCTCGCTGGAGATTCTGCTGGCGAGGCTGATTGTTGGAGACCCCCTACATCGAGCTCGTCATGCAGAAATCAAACCACGCTGAAATCATTGGCATTGATAAAAATGCACCTGCAGCTCATTAGCCCCACTCCGTGCAGGTATGCATCCTTAATATACGAGGGTGCTGGTCGACGATAGCTGATTGGCGCTCCAGGATTTCTTGATAGGAGTGTGTTCACCGGTGGTTGCCAGATGTTCACCATAAGGCCTCAAGCTGACCAGTACGCATTATGCCTGGCTTGAATCAATCTTGTCAATGCAAAGTAACACACAAGCTCACCTGCCACATTCATTGTGTATACCTACCACCAGACAAATAAATCATGGCCGAAGTATTTGGAGCGGTTGTAGGAGGCATTACGGTCTGCCACGGGCTTATTAAAGTCTGTAAAAAGATACACAAGGCGTTGAACCGCGTTCAATACGCCAGAGAAGACATTGCACAACTCGCAGATGAAGGAATAATATTCGCCGATCTATTCAAAACCTTTGAAGGCACATGGGATGAAGATATGGAGAGATCAATCGATACATCGCTTGCGACTCAACGTCTGAGCTGCTGGACAGAGGCTCTCGTGGATGACCTTCGCCAGATTCTTGTCAAGGTCAAGGCACTCACCCTAGACGGGAACCGAGATCAGTCTTTCGCCTTAGTGTTCAGGGCACATCTCGACTGGTTCTTCAAAAAGGGTGCTGTGGAGAGACTACGTGCATCGCTCAGTGTTGCGAGAATATACATGAACGGATATTTCACCATTGTCGAAATTCAAAAGCTGATTCAGCTAAAGGAAGTCCTAATCAGGGCTCTACGTGTTAGTGCACTACGTCAACAGTATAAAACCAAGTTCGATATGCGATTAGAGGACAAGCTTGAATCTGTCATACAGGACTTGTATGATACATGAACCCTTTATTACTTGTCACAAACGCTCAAGCTTCTAGGTACGACAAGACAACGGTGTACGACGCCACGGATAGGATAATGAAATCTGCAAGACGCAAATTAGCCATGGCTGAACAGAAGAGTCTTAGGAATCAGTCGAATTCGCAAACAGAACTGCTCCTTGCCTTCACAGAATCCGTAGAGAAGTGTGCCAGGAACATCATCCCTGCTTCGAAATCGAGAAAACGCACTAGAAGTGCAACGCCATCAGTGGCATCCCGCACGACGTCTTATGATACAGATTCAAACGCTCGCCCATCTCCAGCAAGTTCCAGGAAAGCTGCTAATATTCCAAGAACTATGACGAGCCAGTCTGGGATACGAACAAACAGCAAATCACAGCCCGGACCGCATTTGGATCCAAGGACAGTTAAAGTCAGTTTGAATCCTTCACAGACTAAATTGCCTCAAAAGGAAGCAGTCATACTGTCGCCAAGAACGATCAGAACTGAATCAGCATTGGACTTTCGCATAATTACCGAAAAAGTCGGACGGCACACGATATCGATGTATCCTCAGGCTGTAAAATTTAATGATCACTATTTCGATGTAGCAAATGGAAAGCATGTCAGGACTTTCTATCAGGCGCTAAGGAAGAATGTGGACAGGCTGGACGGTCTCGATCGTGCTCTCAAGTCGTATTGTGGAGAAGAGGGCGAATGGAACGAACTCCCAGGCTGGCGTATTCAACTACAAGGGTGGAAAGCAGCCGGTAAATTTGCACCAGAAACTGATCCCTTAAGCGATTCAAGCGGCTAGTGCGGGTTAAAGAGCCAGGATAGGCCCTGAGATGGCTTATATGGTATATTGGGATTCGTGGTAGTTATTGTCGAAGGAGATCTTGGCAGACTCAAGGAAGCTTCGAATTGTGCTCCTTCTCCAGGCGTTTTGGCCTCCTCGTCCAAATACCTGTGCTTTGAAGAAAATATCCCCTTACAGATACAAGGGTCCCGTGGTACGACACATCTTTTCTCTCATCATCTTATGAAGTGCGATATCCGGATTTTTGTGTGTAATATATTATCTGTGTAGTCCAGCGAGCCATAATTGCACAAAGATTATCAGAACTTGCCCCAAGACCTTCTACCGATATTTTGACGGATATAAGCTCTTAGAGACGGCCTGGTTCGATTTCACAACATTTCTCTATAACCATGTGTTCCGGGCTGACAGCATTGTCTTCTTCCTTGGTGATAAATACGGAAGCCTCATGAACAGGAATTTGCGGTTGTCTCTTGATCTGGTCCAGAATCCAGCAATGTCACTTTCACTGCATTTGCGCAACATGCATAATCCAGTATCCCGGTTTCAGAAACAGTGGTATAGTATAGAATACTAGCATTCCGCTTGGGTCGATGGGCAATGACCTTGCGTTTGTCTCCCATTTTTAAGAGAAGAAGCGCTTTGTTAAGATGTCCTTTTAAAAGATTCGCGATTTTCGCACATTTTACATCAGGACCTGTGGCGCTTCCGCAGCTTGAACCAGTGACTGCAGGCCAAAATTGATACAATTGCAGGTGGGCTATTCTTCTTCACTCGAGAACTTATCTTGACCTTGATAGCTGACTATATCGTCCTCTAAGATATTGACTTGAAAGTAATTAGCTACATGTCATCCAGGCTACATAGTTTAGCCCTACATTAGCTCCAGATATTTGACGGTGAAATGCGTAACAAAGGTTGAAAATGTGGCAGGAAATCTACTAGGGTGATATATGGGTGTCCGCAAGGTGTTGATCATATCTGCTCAATAGAAGTTGTAGTGCACTGTAGTCAGCCGGCATGCATAAACGGTAGTGAAAATGGGTAGTAGTTTAATTTAGGGGCCCAAGCGATACGAATAGTAAGAATTGTTCTTGCGGGATTCAATTGGCGTAATTGCTTGATTATAACCAGGTACTTAGGCTTTGGCAAGAACGTCGCCCTGAATCTTGACAAATCCATCGACAGCAACGGTTCCGATTGTAAAAACGCCGTCTGTCAATCAGGTGCTAAACATTTCCGAGTTTCGCTTGGTGGCACAAATGCGCGGAGGCGCCTACTGGAACCGGCACTCTACAATCAGGTGTGCTACACAAGCGCAACGCGCAGTGCTCAAAGTCTGCGAAAAGGACAGAAACCACGAATTGCTTCGATGACAGTGACTTGAAGTCCTCACATGACATATGATATTGGATTCTTCTTCTCATTTGGCTGGCATTGACGCTGGAAAACACAACATCGTCTCCAAGCGCGCTCTTCTTTCCATTGGCATAGCATTGCCATCCTCAAACAAATCCCCAGAGAGTTGAGCGTTGGTAGAAGCTAAGGTGCTCATTAGCTGGGGCGCTACGCAGGTGTTTGCAGCGATGTGCTCTGCCTCCTCCAACACCCATGTCATATTGTCATTTGGCCCTCCCTCAACGTCATTAGCCGTTTGTCACACAAGCCCGGCCTTCACCTAGGGCTTTCCATTCACATGTGCGTTTCTGCAGGCGGCGTTTGCAAAATTTCCATTTACAGATGAAGAGTCTTTCTAAGGCAGATATTTCTTTTCTGACAAACAAATATCTATTGCTTTTTATATTACATTTCTGGTAATAACATCGTTTCACCAGCTTTTTCACGGCCAGATTAACGGTACTCATTGCAGCAAATGATCAAGAATGCATATCAAGCTGGCGTTTGCAATTATCGGCCTCACAGTGGGAGCAGATGCTTTCTTTCGCATGTCCTGGCCCGGCCGCATCGTGCGCGAACGCCTTGATCCTATCGTGAACCCTGGCGGCGTGGCCTCCCATGGCCATACTATATCCGGTGGCTCAGGCTCCTCTGCCAACATGACTTATGAAGATGCCCGTTCTTCCAAGTGCTCAACATGCGAGATCAAAGAAGACAAGTCAAATTACTGGCCCCCAACCCTCATTGGCGCACCTCAAGAACGGCAGTTTCACCCCTGTCCCCGTCGTCGGCGACCCCACTGACACCAATGGTGGGATGACAGTATACTACCTACAACGCCCTGCCAGTGTGCCTCTGGAAAATTCACCGGTTTCCCCCCAGGTTTTCGCATGCTAGCCGGCGACCCTTCTAAATCCTCCTTCGCCTGCCCCGGCACAAACACCGCAGAAATCAACAATCTCCCTCCATACAACTGTCCCAATGGCCTACGAGCACAAGTCTTCTTCCCAAGCTGCTGGAATGTCAAAGACCTCGACACTCCGGACCACATATCACACATGAGCTATCCTCTCAGTGAAACCTACAACTCGGGTCCCTGTCCCGCAGACTTCCCCATCCAATTCATCAGTCTCTTTTCTAGGAAGTCCTCTACGACACTTCACGCTTCCAGGATGAATGGTTCGACGAGCACCACCCTTTTGTCTTTGCAAATGGTGACCCGACTAGCTATGGTTTCCATGGCGACTTTATAAATGGCTGGGACGTGGCCGTGCTGCAGAACGCAATCGACACCTGCCCCGACAACTCCGGCGCCGTGGAAAACTGTAGAGCAGTAACCATGTTCACCCCCGAACAATGCAACGCCTGTAAAATTCCCACCACGGTCAGAGAAGAAACAGCCGGGATGTTGGACAAGTTACCAGGTCGCAATCCCGTTACGCCGGGCCCAGATCCAGCGCCCTATTTACCGTGCTCAGACGACACGGTCGCACTTGGTCATTGGACAACAAACTTCATCGATCTGACCGCAGAGGGCTGGGCGTACCTAGGCTGCGGAACAGACGACGTTGCAAATCGTGCATTGCCTGCTCCAAACGCGTGGACATATAACCCCAACATGACAGTCGAGTCATGCATCACGCACTGCACTGCCTCGTCCTCGTCCAAATCATTTACCTACGCGGCGCTAGAAAACGGCAACGAGTGTTTCTGTGGCCCAGGATTGAGCGGGAACCATGCACCGCAGAACGGGCATCATGGGTTCGTGCACAATGAAGTGTACTGGTGGTCAAAGCCAGATTTGTGGTGCGGCGGGAGCGATGAGTGTGTATCGGAAGTGTGAGGAGGGGGCGGCGTGTGTGAATAATGAGGATGGAGGCAAGGCCGAGGGAGCTGCGGGTGGTAGCAAGGGGCCTGAGGTGCGCAGGGTATGGAGAGCGTGAGAGAGTTGCTGATGGATTGAGATGTGACGGTGCATATACTCGGGAGGAAAACTAGTGCAAGAGAAGTCCACCTGCTTGGTTAGTAGGTTAGATAAACGCTAAAAGTATTGCTTCGTTTTTGGTACTTAATTTCAATGGATGCAGATCTCCCAATCTGCTAGATATTCTTTGGCCAACTAAGCATCAAGAGCCGCCAATTATTGTTGGACAGCCCATCCCAAGTCGGTGGAACAAGGTTGAGTGGCACAGGCGATATGCCAAGCCATTCAGTCCATTATTCGAGTCTTGTGTGGAATTTGGATGAAACACATGCATTTCGTTTCTAAGCGCAAATGAAAATCGATGAGACCCTAAAATACACGCCGTCAAATGGATCGCCAGATGCTCCGTCAACCCGAGTCCATTATTTACCTTCTCCTCAAACTCGCCCGCTCCCCAACTTTCTCGCCTGTATTCATCTGTCTGTCTGAAAAATACAATGGGGTAAACATACGACATGCTGTGCATGCTTCTCCATAAGCGCCATGTGGTAATAGTATATCATGCGCGTGTACCAATTTCGATCCAGGAAGTATTGCCATGCTGCGATCGCGTAGAGCTCGGTTTGCTTATAGCTTGCTGACACAGGTGTCCTCGCCGGCCTTGGAGTTCATGAGAAGGGCGACAATGAGACCGTACAGACCTGAGCGGTGTTAGTGCTGCGAGTATGTATGTAAAGCAGTTTACATACCCAAAACTTCGGCGAAAATGAGAATGAGAATCATTCCAACGAACAGCCTGGGCTGTTGAGCGGTACCTCGTACACCTGCATCACCAACAATACCAATGGCGAAACCAGCGGCCATACCAGACAGACCGACAGCGAGACCGGCGCCAAGCTGGATGAAGTTTGCGAACAGGGAAGACTCCTGCTTCAGTCCGTTGGAGATGAGGACAGACACGACAAGACCGTAGATACCAATAATACCAGCCATGACGACGGGGATAATGTCTGCATCGATAGTTAGCTGCTGCGCGTAGAGCTGGCAAATCAAGCGATTGCGCAAGCCGGAACGAGAGCGTTGACGTACTCTTGACGATTAAGTCAGGGCGCAGGACACCCATAGCTGAGACACCAACACCGGCCTTGGCAGTACCGTAGGCGGCGCCAAAGCACGCGAAGACGATGGCGGACGTGCATCCCATCGCACCGAAGAAGGGCTAACAAAGGTCAGCATGTCAAGTCCAACCGCAAGGGTCGCGATAGTGGTGCATCGCGTGTTGATGATGAAGGTAGGTAGGAGCTAGGCGCAGGAGTGGCCACAACAGGAGGCGAGGCGTGAGTCGGTCGTTCTCTATCAAAGACTTACAGCATACACGGGGCTGCAACGATCACGTTAGCTGTAGTTCCTTCAATAGAGCGATAGGAAATAGGAAAGCTCCCGCGGTGTCCTGAAGCCCAAGGCCGTTCCAACTGATCGCGTCGACGCAAGCTGGAGCTGGAGCTACCTAGGGTTCGAGCAAGGGGAGCTCTGTTCAAGACTCACCAGAGTTCTGTAGGCATTGTGACGGTGGTGAATGTGATCAGCGGGTCTTCTTTGAGGGGCTGGAGATATCTGCTTTGATGGGCAGACGGCGGAGATGCGGCGATTGAGGCGTTGTGATGTCGAGATGAGTAGTGACGATGGCTGGGTTGACGGAGTTCTTGCTTGGCTCTAGCTCCCTTGCGGTCTAGCGTTTCACGTGAGCCGCCTCAGACGCTGACCTCCGCGGTAGAGTTCTAAGTGAACGACACCACCATCTACCAACACACAGGCTCAATATTGCCTTTGTGGAACCACAGTCCAACTGCCAGATCCCCATCCCCGGTACAGTCCAACTACCAGATCCCCATCCCCGGTTCCGGTTCCCGGTTCCGGTTCCCGCACCGAATCATGTCTTATCCCCAACAGCATATTGAACAGCATAAATAGTATTTTGGGATGTTGGGGATAGCTGCAGGTTAGGGGTTGGAGGTGGGGAACAGTCCCCGTGTGTACTCAATTAATCTGAATCTATTTAGGGATTGATACAACTCATTCCTAAAGAAAAAGGGGGTTCAAATTAAATACAAGCATAATCTGTTATTTGATACGATACACATGTTCGATAATAGTGGCCTTGACTCTGAGATCACCACATGTGATAAGAAGTACCGGTAACAGATTTAAGAGTTGCAACGCAACGCATTGTGTTGTCGAGGTTTTGTCGACGTCGGGCACAGCATGCAGTAGGAGTATGAGGCCTCTCGTTTCCCTCCAACCTGATCCATGGAGATTCTTCTGCAGTGCTTAGTTCTCCATCAATATTGTCTCTGAATCCCATTAGATTCTTGACTGGAGCTTGCCGGAGTTCCTTGTGCGTTGTAGGAAGCACGCCCTACCACCTCGAACGCGATGGAAGAATCGTGTAGCTGATCGAGGCCCAATTCCTGCAATTCTACAGCACTAGCATATGCAAGGATATAAGCTATCCTACTCACCCAATATCTATATCCATAGATTTTACCTTGATACCGCCCGTGCGGCCGTGGCTTTTCAGATCGTACGCTAGATCATGCTTTCCGCACACTTATGCGATCTGTCCCCATGAAAGTGGACGACAAGGCGACGACAACGAAGGAGTAATCTAACCCGTTGTGTACCTGACAATATGTCAGCAAAGATGTCAATGAATTGTTTGATAAATGCAAGAATACCGGGGGCTGAGAACGCTGGCTCAGGCTTGCATTCAAAAATTGTGATCAGCGAAGTCGTCCAGCGACAGCTTGGCTTAGACTTTTTCCCGGAGCATCGAAATACTCTCAGTAATATTCAGGGGATTCGAGATGATATCCGGGAGCGAATAGTTATTTGATTTGGAGAGTGACATTGATTGAATTTGGCTATTGCCCGGCTGCGGCACAAGACCGGCTTGTTGCCATCCTGCAACACGGTCACTTCTGGCCCAATTCCAAGACCCAATTCCGTAGTCTCTTTCTTGAAAGGAGCCTATGTCTCCAAAACCTCAACAGGACAAAGTCCTACCTCAGTCATTGGCATCAGTCATTGCTTCAGCAATAGCCTCAAAAGCTCTGATATACCCGCACAATCGCATCGATACTGATGTCTAATTATGTTTTTGTACAGATTAATTCAAGGCAGCAGATCGTTACCAAGGTGCTATTGACGACCTTGGAAAGCTGATCGCTTAGTTGTTGATAACGCACAGGCTATTTGACTTGTGCATCATCAATGAATGGATGAATTTTGATACCATATACCGGTGTCGTCTTGAAACTCGTCTTAGAGTTTCCTTGGCCCGAAAACTGCCGCAACGAAGTATCCTATACTGTGTTTTTTTTTGGATTCAATCACCACACGCAAAAAAGAGCCAGAAACCGCGCGTAAACCAGAGTTTCGTGTTGGAAAGACTTCTCGAGCTAGCAGAAACCAATGGAGGGTGACGTTCCTTTTTGGGAGTCCTATTCAGGAATTCAATGATATGTGAGATTTCGAAGAGCAGAAACTGTTAGTAGATAACAGAGTTGAGGAGGACTCGGTGAAGGGATAGTGATGTGATGTATGTGTAGATGGATACGTGAAGACTATATGTATTAGGGGAGTCTCCAGTCATGGCGGGCCAGGGTCGGTGTATGTCACAAAAAAAATCTGTGCGAA